AAATGGATGGTAAATTGGTGAGAGAAATGCCCAAGAACAAGAACTTATCTAACATCAATTTTAGGGTTGGAAATATCTGTTTCTTGTAATTTGCCCTGAAATGTATTTGTAATTTTATCACAGAATGTCCCTATGTTGAGTCAGTGTCCTCGTGTCAGGCCTTTTCTATTAATTTTTTTGGGGGAAAATAAGTGTCCCTATGTCGAATTGTCCGGAGGTCGATGTGTCCGCATGTGGGGGTCTCACTGTATACCCAATTCCAGGGCAACAAACTTTTTTCTTAGGAAATGCTTAATGGAATCTCCAGTTGAAAATTTTCTAACCAAGGCAAACACAATCTGAAATTTCCCTTTATAAATATGACAGACAGGGTCTCCTAGCATGGATGGAATGGTAGTGAACAATAACAAACATGCTTTCAAGTGGTTCAACACATCATCCTACAAGGATGAAGATGGATGTGGTGGAAAAAATCAATTTTTCCTCGCCCAGAAAAATCACGTCAAAATCAGAGAACAAAATTTCAATCAGGGTGAATGTTTGGAAAATTGTGCTTGGTGCTCCAAGTTATAAACAAGATTTTTTTTAAAGCGTGCTTCCTTAATTAATTAATTAATTAATTAATTAATTATGAACAATCCAATGCAGACAATGTAATCAAGCATCCATTGGAATGCAGGATTGAATCCAACATTTTTTCTGAAGATACTGTAGTTTAGTTTTCAAGCAATGCTAAAAATCTGGGAATGCCAAAAAAGCAAGATAGGCAGGTCTCAAGTGAAAAACAAATGTTCACACTATTAATTTAGAAGATCTTGTTATGAAGAATTATTTAGTACAGTATAGGAAATTTTTTATGTGGTCGCCAAAAGTTTGTGGTACAGTAACAAGATTTTACTGTGGTTCAATCTTGTTAGAGCAAACTCCCAGGGACTCAAGAAACAGCCGCTATAATGAAAAATGCATTACAATAAGATTCTTGGTTCTCTAAGCATGTAGGACTGAATTCTTTAGGGAAACATGAAACAAATTCCCTCAAGTACTGGAACTTCCAAAACAGATACGTGAAGAATTACCATCATTTGAAACTTTCTCGGATGAAATAATACAGAAAATTTGATGTAAAAAACTATTCTCTTACTTCAGACCTTCCCTTGTATGCAATTTCATAAAAACATTATACATAAGCGCTTCACATTTCCAGCCATGCTGAATTTTCTGCACTAAAATATTAGCACTTGAAGGTTTTCATTTACACACATAATCAAGGTGAATTTTCGTCATTTTGAGATTATGCAGGGAAATTAGTTTGTTAAAGCAACATTTTTATTTATAACATTGTCCCTATAGAAAAACTGCTGGGACCAAGATAAATTCGTTACTTTGAAAAATTCGTTATACAGGTATCGAGATTCGCTGTAACGGAATTTTACTGAATCAGTAATCAATAAATCAGTTCACCGATAATTACCTTAATTTTATCAATCCAATTATTTCTACAAAGTTTCGAAATGTTGTAGGGAGGCATTATTGAAAATTGTCTTCTAAATTCAGTTGATACGGTATAATCTCGTTACAACGAAGCGTTTGGGACCTTTAAGAAACTTCGTTCTCACCGAAACTTGGTTAAAAGAAATTAAAATAACACTTCGGCTATTGGAAAGGGTTCAAAAAGAAATTCCGCGGTAAGCATTGATTCGTTACGAGATCCTACTGTATTTTTTTTTACCACAACGCGTAAAAATGAAGAAGCAAATACGTTTCAATGGGGCCTCGAGGGAAATCGCTCCTCGCATAACGAACTTCTCACACAATGAACCCAGTTCTGGAATTGATCAAGTTCGTCATGCGTCGAGGACTCTTCGCAAAACGTGTTTTTTCAAAGTTCGTTCTTCTCACCGTCACGTTATCCGTAACTTTAACCACCAGGTGTCCCTCGTGATGTATGTACTTCATGCTGTACCGGGACTGAAAATGAAATAATCAAATCATGAAAAACAAATTTAAAAAAAAAGAAGAAAAATAAATAAACGCGTACCTTAATAGGATCAGCCAAGTAGATCTTCTCAGCTGCTTTCTCGAAGTCTTCCCAGTTGCTTAAGAACGGCATCGCGAGTTGGAACACCGCTCTATTATTTCAATCACACATTCCACCGAGAATGAAGAACCATCAGAATTCAGTCAAAAGACATTTCCATACCACGCAAAGAAAAGTTTGAGGAATCTGCTTATTGAGTTTGAACGTAGAACAAACGTAAACAAGGGTTGTCCCAGTTCCGCGCGGGATTAAAAATGTTCAACATTGGTAAAATGTGAAGAAAAAAATTTCTAGAATTTTTCTTATGATGTTTCAGGAATTTGGTACTCTTCCCCAATTTTCTAAACATTTTTTTCAGTACACTGCATGATGAGAAAAAAACTTTTCTTTTTATTGCCGGAGTTTTCCAGAAACTTTCGAAGTGCGCTGAAAATGTGTCTAAAAAATTCGGAAAAACACCGCATTTCTAAAACATCGTGATAAAATTTGTTCACCTTTAAAAAAATGACAGGAATGTTTAATCCCGCGCGGAATCGGGACGATCCTTTTCCTGGCTTTGAAATCCAGTATGTTGATTGTCAGCGCTTCCGGATGTACTTCAGTTTCGAAAATGAATTAAAGTTATCATTGTTCATAGCAATGAACTCAATTATCAATAATGAAAAAATTGTGAAGAAAGGAAGGAAATAGCGTCCTGAAAACTGTTCGACACATTAAATCTACATTAATCAGACAAGAACTTCTACAGTAGCAGTTTTTCGAAACTTCCCTGTTCAACAGACCCTCGGCTATGCATGGACTTAATTTCTCGTAAAAAAAGAATATTGACATGAACTGAGACCCAAGGTAAGAAAGAGAGAGTGAGAATGTCATCCATGCGCCTGTTGTACCAAGAAGAACCGATGATCTTTTTGATCAATTTTCTAAGCGTTTTCTCTTTGCGAGAACTCAACATTTATACAACTTCAACGGGTTGATAAGGAAATTCTTCAAAAGAAAGGCATGTTTTCTTAATGAAAAGAAAATTCAATCCTTAATGCTATAAAATGTTCTTTAACGGTTCTACGTCCAAACAGACATCATTGAAGTCCTCAAAACTCAGCCTGAAATGTTAAAACACCCCTTTGGATTCAACAGACGATTCAAAAGTAAATCCATTCTCAATCAATCCGCGTAACACAGCAAAGCAAAAAACAGGGGAAAAAAAAACCCGAAGAAAATACCTCCGATAATTCAAAACAGAAAAAATTATCACTCGCAAAAACAAAACAAGAAAAAAAAAAAACGATTGAACCAAGAATTTATCGGTTTATGCGTCGCCCGCGCGACTCCTTCCTACCGCCGCCACTGGATCCCCACGGCGGCGTCGCCCGTGCTTTTCCGGAAACCGCCGAATAGTAAGGAGAACCCACGTCGTGTCCCGACGCTACACGAGACCCTCGTCCTCGGTTCTTGAACAAATCCTGAACGGGAATAAAGGAGATTAAGTAATATCTCGACAAAATAAAGCTGACATGAGAGAAAGGTTGTGAGAAATCCATTGCGTCAAACAAAACAGATGCAAGAAATTTAAAGGTGCTTGACGATGTCGACGGTTAGATTTGACAACCTTGAAATGCTCACGCGTATGACACGAGGATACAGTACACGGATTTCCAGACATTTTATTGCATTTTTAAATTAGATATGCTGGCAATCGACAGGATTCAAACTGCGTCGTTAGATTTTTACCGAACAGAATCCTTGTCCAACTCCAAAGAAAGAAGAAATTCGCTCGCGAAAATAAAATGGAGAACTCACTCTAAGCGCCTTCTTCGACATGGGATTATAACCCGTGGGCCCTGTGGGTTGATGGCCCTGACTCTCCAGGGCCACGAAATCGTCCACATGCATCGACGGCGGCCGCGACGTGTTTGGCGGCCTCGACCTAAAACTGTCCCTGCCACTTCCACTGCTGCCCCGCTCCCGCACATACGATTTGCGCGCAGCTCTTCCGTCTCTCTTCTTTCCACCACCACCACCGCCGCCGCCCCCGTTTCCTCCCCCTCCTCCTGATGCTCCGCCGCCCCCACCGTCGTCATCACCGCCGGCACCAACACGCCCGCGAGAAAACGAATAACGAGAAGAGCCGTGATGGTGGTGTTGCTGCTGCTGCTGCTGATTATGGTGACCGCTGTGACCGTGGCTACTGTTGTTGTTACTGTTGCTACTGCTGCCGCCGACGCAGCCACCAGGGCCACCAACACTGGCATTTGTTCCGTGAGATTGCTGCGAGTATCCAGGGAAACCGCCAGCACCGCCGCCGCTTCCCGTGCCAGAGTTGTGACGCTGAGTCGGAGCAGCTGCCGAAGCGCCGCCTTCTTCTCTGCGTCGTCGACGGGATTCTTTCGCCCGATGCCAGGCCGCCACCGCGGGACAACCAAATGCCGCCCGCGACACAAACTGCGCCAATTCCCGCACGACGACTGCACCGCTATTGTTGCTGGCCCCGCTGCCCCCGGACCCAACTTCACACGCAGTCACCACGTCCAGCAAATCCGTCGACACCAGGTCCACGTCCTCGTCTCGCGGCGCATGCTCCGTGAACATCATCGGGGCAAACAACTCCACAGAATCGCCGTCGCCTCCATCGTCCTGCTCGTCGTCTTCGTTGGTATTGTCAGCGTCCGTCGTCGTCGTCGGCACAACGACGCACTGCCGCGACGCCAAAACTCGAGCAAGCGGCACTCGCGCCGCCATCTCCGGCTCTCGCCAATCACCACTGCCGTTCTCCTCAGGCATAACGACATCTGTATCGGCTCCTTCGCTTCCACCGCCGCTGCCGACACCAACACCAGACGACACAGAGGCGGCTGCAACAGCGTCAAAGTTGGCCAGCACCGCCGCGACGCCCGCCCGCAACCGGGCCACGCAGCCCTCGTCACTCTTGGTCTCGGCGCCGAGACGGGCGTCCAACGTGCGCAGGGGATGCGGGTCTTCCGTCCACGACGACCAAACCAATTTGCGAACGTCGACGTCCGGAAGGCGCAGCGTGCGACGACACGACACGGCGCGAAACTCCGGATCGTCGTCAGAGTCCGTGTGTCGAACCATGCGAATCAGCTCCAAAACTGTCGACAGCATCGTCACGTCGTCCGAGTTGTCGCCAGAGAAGCTGGTCGCCAAGCGGTCCAAGAGCTGCGTAACGGCCGAGGGTTTCCGCTTCCACGACCTGGTAAAAAAAGAATCGTTCGTAGAAAATACAGCAAGTATCATATATATATATATACGCGTCATTCACATTTTGATACATTTCTTTAATAACAATTGAGGTTCGGTTCGATTAACATTTTATTGACTTGATGAGAAAAATTAAAAAGATGTTAAAACTCAAAGTGACCCGATCGCATTCCCTTTCAAAGGACGAGACAGTTCCAAAAACATGATTTTCCACACATGCTGAACAAGGGGGTCATTTCGCAGAGTGATGCGCTAAAAAAGCAGGGGATACTACAAAAAATTCAACAGAAAATTCCTCCCTTTTTTCTTTTTGTCTTAATGGAAACTTTTCCCGATTTCATTCGATTCTCCAACGTCTTCACGCGTTGTTTTCTCTTTCTAGCAGATGTCGCCTCTACGCCGCAACAGCCTAACTGTTAAGGTGCGTTCATTTTTGCTTTAGTTTCCCTAATTTTGAAATTAAAACCGCAACAAATCGTACCTGAGGCACGACTTGAATCAAATTTCGTATAAATCACGCAGATTTCTTCTTACAGCAGAAATAGAGGAAGAAAACGATTGAAAATCCAAGTCGTTGTAAACTCGAGCGAAACGCACAAGTTCAGATGCAAAGCATAGTTGATGACTTTAAAAAGAAAATAATAATAATGATAAACCCACACGCAACAAACATACTTGACAAAATGATACAGCCCGAGATCGGAGCGAGACACCATGACCAAGCATCGCAGGACTTGGATGATCGCCGCACTGCTGGCCTTCGGAGAGCCCAGGTGGTCCACCAGGGCAGAAGTCAGGACACTCATGGCTTGCTTGCTGGGCAGGCCTCCGTCCACGGCATCACCCAAAGCCACGCGAGGGTCCACTAGTCCAGCGAACACGTTCACAATGCTTTCCGCCACAGCGGGACTCACGTCGCGCCTGTTCAGTGCAGAGCCTAGTGCTCGCACAAAACCGTCCTCTTCGTCCCTGATGAATGCAAACAAAATTCGAATTAAGGGAGGAAAAATAAGGAATCACGCTTCCATCTATGAAAAATTTCGGTTTCCAACGCCTCACAAGCACTGATCAATCGCGTCAACTTGTCGTTTTGTCCCGCTGAACACTCAATGACTCAGCAATTTTATTTGCTCTTTTACAAAAGGTAGACTGAATTTCGTTATGTTTTGTTGAGAAATTTCATTAGAATAATTCGTTCGAATTATAAATGTAAGTATTATATATCGTTACAACGAATATAGGGAGCCGGGGAAAATTATCCGAAAAATTTTACATTCAGACTCATGACTTCAACACATATATACTAACATTTTGCGTAAAATACTGTAGGTGATAATGCTTCCAAGCTCATTTGCAGCAGATAATTCGGGACTTGTCATAATTTTTAAATCGCTTAGATGAAATTAAAAGGAAACTTTTAAAACGCTCTTCTCTCATGTTGAACCCATCTTGCGCAACAGTTCCCATCAATGTGCACATCTTTTTTTTTATTACACGAGAATTACATACGAGGGTTAGTTCATAAGTTTTGAGACTTCTTAAAACAGATCCAACGAAATTTCAAAAACTCCAAAAAATTTTTCACTCGCACACTTCCTTCACTTGGCAATACTTCAGTGCTTTTCAAAATAATCCAACACTTCCAATGCATTTTTAATGCGATAAACTCAAAAATCAAAAAATGCCAAAAATTTTTTTTCAATAGTTGAAACCACGTTGGATCTATTTCAAAAAGTCTCAAAACTTTTAAAATTACGCTTGTATTCTTTCTCTGATACTGTTTACATGAAGGAGAGGATCCATCGCTGAATTCTTGGAAGAAGCATGTTATCAGCTGTGCTGAATTGCTCCACTTATTCCTCGCCCCTTGCCATGCTCATTAAAGCGTGACCGCCGCGCATGCGCAAGCAACTCTGTTTCCTCTCCCCTCAGACTCATTAATGATGGCCGTCGGCGGTCCACTGCTGTATAATTTAATGGTGAAACACTGTTGCGGAATACTTTCGTCCCCGCTCATACTTTCTTTACTTCCTTTGTACTCGAGGCTAATGTCTGATCATAGACCCTGTTCTGTCTGGTTCTCCATGAAGTTAATAAAAGCCCTGACCAGATAGTAGATCCGGCAGTGGATATTTCCCTCTGGAAAGAAGCAGAGTCCGGATAGGAGCGTATGATATACGTACATGTTGAAGTCCAATAAACACTTAAATATTTAAATATTGGTGTTTCTTTGCTTGCTTATAAGATTACCTAAGTACTAAATGTACTTGGTTTGGGACGCATCCGGTAAAAAGGAAGCGAACTAAATTAATTCCGTCGACACTTATAAGATTATCCTCTTAAAAGTTGGTGACACCCAGGGTTTTAGCCTGTGAGCCTTAAAATCAATAAGTGTACGACAAAAAAATTGGCGCAGTTGGTACTTCTTTTTTGCGCCGGGTGAGTACTGGTCAGACCAGTCAAATATCCCAGACTCCACTTAAAGTGGAAGGTAATCAAAAAAGTAACAAAACGGACGGACAAAAGTGAGAAAAGTGAAAAGTCTAAGTGACGTATGGTACTGAAGAAAAAGTCTAGGTGACGAGTGGAATTGAAGAAAAAGTCTAAGTGACTGACGAGCTCTAGGTGAGCGAATATTCCGTCAAGAAGGACAAAGAGCTATGTTAGAAAAACCAGCTAAGAAGAGGATCAAGGGACTTTGCTGAGAAAGGGAACGTCGCCAAAAAGGAATCCAGGTTTTTATACAAATATTCAAAAAAGAAAAAGCAAAAAACAATAAAAACAAAAATTGAAAGGTAACGAATACGAGAAACGTTGAGTGTGTATATATTTTTGTGTGGTTATTTTCTGTAAAAACGTATTTGTATATTTTAAGCAATTTTGTATTTACTAAATACTCCAACACTAGGTATACGTGAACACTAATTTATGTTGAACAAAAATAGCAAGCATACTAACAAAAACATAAATCAAACTGAAAAAACCCGTACCCAAAAAGCGGTTGAATATAATTGTAAATTAGTAGAAGAGTTATTTAAAATCGCTTACGCTCAAGGCAACCCAGAGCAAGTAGAACAAGCACCTCCTGCTGAAGAAAATCGTTCTCAATTTAGTACTTTTAAATTGAAAAGACCCGAAGATTTTGAAACTGTCAGTGAAACCCTAGAAAGATTAGAAAAAGATCCCCAAAGACTAAAAGAATAAAAAATTTGTAGTGCATTTATCTAGATAAACTAAGATAATGGCAGTAACCGGAGCAGAAGCGTCAGGTGATCTAATTCCACTTTCAGAAAATAATCCACCACCAATACAACCAACAAAAATTTCGTCCAAAATACCTAAAAGCACCCAAATAACTCAAGACTTGTTTATATCTATTGAAGCTCCACAGGAAACCAATCCAACTCCTTTATCGCAAAACACTGGTAATATTTCCGAAAGTTATCAAGTAAATAGTCTCCCAGCAGAATACTTAACTTATACACCCCAAGAACAAGCTGCTTATTTACAAAGGACCATTAATGAAACTCAAAAGAATATTATGAAATACCGGAGTGAACTCCCTAATGCTAGTGCTAAAAGAGCAGACGCCATTAGACATCAAATTAGTCAATTCGAATCCAATATTGAAGAACTTTCAGAGATGGAAAAGGATATCCAAGAAAGTTTGAAAATTATTGCCAATGCCCAAAGAGCCTTAACTGAGAAAAATAATATCTTGGTTTCTCGAATGCTTCAACAACAAGCAATTGAAAGAACAATGAAACTAAACAAAACCAGTGAATTAAGAAAATCAGTACTTACAAATACATTAATGGGCACCCTAGAGGTCCCTACCCCCGAAGAAATGGTAGTGTGGAATCAAGCTCAAGGAAGAACCCCTTTAACTTCAAATTCCCAAATTACTAATGCCTTCATTAATAACATGTCCATGTTCTCAGGTGAATGTAATTCGTTGTCTTGGAGCTCATGGTATTCCAGGTTCTTGATAACCATTAACTCAAACCCTTTAAGTGATGCACAGATTAAAAATCTGCTATTATCCAAGCTAGAAGGAAAAGCCCATAAAATAGTGAGAGCTAACAAAGAATTAATGTATGAACCATACCCTATTATTGCTAAATTTCTACTAAAACATTTTGCCTCAGAAGATTTAACTGATGGCCTAGCCACATTAGATTGCATTTGCCAAGAGGAGAATGAAAAGGTTATCGATTTTGCATTAAGACTAGATTTAGCTGTTGTAAAACTAGACTCAGATCATACACCCAAAGTCAAAGTGCTTTGCCAAGATGGTATGAGAACTCTAGTCGCTAATCCTTTATATGAACAGGAAGAAATCAAAGCTCAATGTAGAAGCGCTTTTCTTGCCGAAATAAAATTGAATAAATTCATCAAAGGATTATTACCTCATATTCAAGCAAGAATGAGCAAAATACCCGATACTTATGAGGAAGCCATAGAAAAGGCTCTTAAAGCAGAAAAGCTACTAATAGTAACCAGACAATTACATTATGCATGTGATAATTTTTCGTTGGCTACTGATGCAAGCAAAAACAATACTGCTGCTAATCCTTGTGACAAAAATTCCTCTAATCGTCCTAATCACACGCCGCAGTCTTCCCAGGCTTGCTATTCTTGTGGGAAATATGGACATTATGCTACCAATTGTCCTACTCCCAAAACTTGTAACCCCAACGCTGTCCAATTTTTGAATTATCCTGTTCAAAGAAATTATCAACAACAGGTTAGGGTCCCCAATAGAAGACTAGACGGGCGAATGGTCGCTCCATGGGCCAATAGACCTAGACGTGGAGTAAATCCATGGCTACCGGTACAATACCCAATACAATATCAGTTTCAGGCCCAAAGAACAAAACCAGCGGGGCAAATGACCCAAGCGTCCGCTGCAGGACGTCCACCTGCCCGAGGCTATCCTTCCTTAAGAAAAGGAACCCCCACTAGAACACGCCGTCTAGCAGGTTGACGGGGAGGTTCCGTTAAAAGAAATAATTATATTAATATTAACCAGGATGAAGTTCCCGAATACGTAGACTATAATGAACCACCTTATAATGTTACCGAAAACTTGATTCAGTTAGAAGAATACCCTATAGATAATGCCGAATACAATAATGGAGAAGATCCCTATTATCAAGGATTTCTTTCAGCTGAAGAATATTATGAAGCGGATAATTACAAATATTATTATCAAGATCAAAATTCAGAAGCTCCTGAAGAAGAATATTACGAGTGTAATAATACCAATGAAGCAAATCAGGGAAACGATTATTAACCGGGACCACCAAGATTTTGCGTCTCCCGGTTGTACCTATATTCATAACGTCTCGTTGAAAATGAGGAATGGGATATTGCTTAGTATTAATAGGTTCTGTGGTATTTAAAGGAATAGTCGGTTGATATAATTTGCATAAACCCAAAGTATCAGTTCTTTGTGCTAATACATCTGCATACTTACTTAATAAATGTTTTACTTGAGGTTTTAGGTGATTGGGACATTTAGATTTATTTAAACTAGATTGAATCATTGTCTCAGTCGTCTCTTCAGTTTCATCTTCAACACCGTGAATATGTATATCAGGGTGCGTTTCATCTTGTTGGGTTACATTAGTTACCAAATATTCTTCATTGAATAATTCTGCTGAAGCTATGTTCAATGAAGGATTTAATTTAGCATCCTTTTCTTCTAAATTAATACAAAATGCATAAACATATCCATCTTTTGATACCTTAGACAACGATCTTCCAATTATTATGTCGTTGTCCGGACCTATTGCAGGGTTTATTAAAATTTCTTTATTCTTAAAACGTTTAGCATTTTCTTGAGATAATTTCAATTGTAGTAAGGCATGAGAATGGGCAGGAATAATTTCCTGCCAGATGGGATATAGTTTAAAGCTTGGATCGTTTTCTATTTGAAAATTACGTAGTTTAGATTCTGTTAAAGCAAAGGGGATGCGAGAATCACACACTATAACATTGTTGGTTTCATAACATATTTTGGCAAGGCTATTTTTTAACCAATCAGAACCTAATATTCCATCGAAATTAGGGTTTTTCATGTTTTCAATTAGGAGGAAAGAACATCTATTAATAATGGCATTATCATAAATAATAGGAGTATTAATTGATCCTAAAGCTGGTATACTAGTTCCTTTTAAGGTATTAATGACTACATTGCTAGGAAATGGTATGCTTGAGTTTAGGGAATTATCTAGCGAGGATATTTCAGATCCTGTATCAATTAATAATTTAATAGGTGGCTTATTAAAATACAAAGGTACAACCATTGAACATAGCTTCAGCAGAATTATTCAATGAAGAATATTTAGTAACTAATGTATTTAGTAACTATACATATTCATGGTGTTGAAGATGAAACTGAAGAGACGACTGAGACAATGATTCAATCTAGTTTAAATAAATCTAAATGTCCCAATAACCTAAAACCTCAAGTAAAACATTTATTAAGTAAGTATGCAGATGTATTAGCACAAAGAACTGATACTTTGGGTTTATGCAAATTATATCAACCGACTATTCCTTTAAATACCACAGAACCTATTAATACTAAGCAATATCCCATTCCTCATTTTCAACGAGACGTTATGAATAAATTTGTAGAAGACATGAATAATCAAGGAATTGCTTGTCCCTCTACTTCCCCTTATAACTCTCCAACTTTAATGGTAAAAAAGAAAGACAGAGGTTGGAGAATGGTAGTTGATTTTAGAAAATTAAACGATCATGTAATCACTGATCCGCATCCGTTACCCAGAATTCATCAAATTTTTGAAGAGTTAGGAAAAGCCAAATATTTTACTGCATTAGACTTACTACATGGATTCTATAATTTAGTAATCCATCCAAAAGATAGACATAAAACTGCCTTTTCCACACCCTCGGGGCACTATGAGTTCATATGTTTGCCAATGGGTCTAAAGAATTCTCCAAGCATATTCCAGAGAATGATGAATTTAGTACTTGATGGGTGTCTAGGGAATTATGCATTTATTTATATCGACGATATTGTTATATATTCCCCTGATGCCAAATCCCATGTTAAGCATCTGGAAAACGTATTTATTTGTCTTAAAAAAGCAGGACTAAAAGTTAAATTCAGTAAATGTCAGTTTTTTCCAGACGAAATTGAATATTTAGGATTTATGATTAGCACTAAAGGAATCCGCATTACGGAAAGTAAATTGAAAGCTGTCCGTGAATTCCCCACTCCTGTAAATGTTAAAGGTGTGCAAGCTTTCTTGGGATTAACTGGTTATTTTAGATCCCATATTGAAAATTATGCTACGTTAGCTAAACCTCTCCATAATTTATTAAAGAAAGAATCGCGATTCCACTGGGGAAAAGAACAAGAAAAATCCGTGGAAAATCTAAAAGAATGTTTAATGATGGCACCTGTGTTAGCCTTTCCTGATTTCTCTCAACCTTTTATATTAACCACTGATGTATCCAATATAGCCATAGGAGCTGTACTAACCCAAAAGGATGGAAAAAAGGAAAAATTAATTGGCTGCGTGTCTAGATCTTTAAATGCCACTGAAAGTAAATATCCAAATACTGATAGGGAAATTTTAGCTGTATTTTATGGTGTACAAAAGTTTAGATCCTTTCTTTGGGGTTATCCGTTTGTAATCAAAACAGATCATATAGCTATCCCTTTCTTAAGTAAACAATGTCATAGTGATAGTCAAAGAGCTATTAAATGGTTTATGACTTTAAATGAGTATAATTACACTGTCGAATATAAAAAGGGAAAGAATATCCCTCATGCAGATGCATTGTCCAGATACCCACCGGTAACAAAACTGTGTAACTACTTATCTCCATCTTATTTTTTAGATGACTTAAAACCATACGTACCATTGGAATTGATACTAAATTATTTAAAAATCATTCCCAAGCATCAATGGCCCACAGGAAAAGATTTCCTTGAAAGGGAAGGATTATTATATAAAAATACCGAAACCGGTATAAAGGTATGGATCCCCCCAGAATTAAGAAGGTATATAATTGAGTTATATCATAATACTCCAGCTTCTGGACACCCTGGTATTGATAGAACTATTTTTGCATTGAAGGAAAAATTCTACTGGATAAATCTAGAACGAGATGTAAATGATTTTGTAAAAAATTGTGATATATGTCAAAAATATAAAACACATAGGCATAATACTCCTATGATGTCTATGCCTATTCCTTCCAAATGCTTCGAAGAAGTTAGCCTAGATTTAGTAGGACCGGTACCTGTGAGTTCAGTGGGAAATAAATTTATCCTTGTAATACAGGATCGATTATCAAGATGGATTGCATTCATTCCACTAAAAAATGCTACTGCAGAAGTTGTATCCAAAACGTTTTTAGACAATTGGGTTTGCCAATTCGGTGCCCCTAAAATTATATTAACCAATAGAGGTACAAACTTTTTGTCCGCTATATTTAAAGAATTATCATTTGCTCTGGGTAGTAATGCACGTACGACTACAGCGTACCATCCCCAAGCAAACGGACAAAATGAGAGATCCCATAAAGAATTACACGAATATTTAGCTATTTACTTGGATCCAAAAAATAGAGATAAATGGGATCATCTGGTTGAACTAGCTGCATGGGTACATAATACCTCTAAACATGAGTCAATTCAATTATCCCCCTATGTATTGGTAACGGGTCAGAAACCTAATTTAAATTGGGTTCTCTGGAATGTCACTGACACCAAAGATTATGTTAATATTGAAGATTTTATTACCAAGAAAAATGAAAAGCTAAACTCTCTTCGAGAAAAAGCTAAATATATAATTGAAAAACGTCAGGAAGCTTATCTCTCCAGATTGAATAAAAATACAAAGCCTCCTTCTTATAAGTTGATGACTTGGTTCTTCTAAGAACACATGATTTCCTCACTTATGTAGGACAAAAGTGGTCACAAAAATACAAGGGTCCTTATTTAATATCTC